TCTCTGAGGATGCACTGTACCCTGCCACGTAAAAGGAATATCATGTCACGAACATCCTCCGTGTCATTAAGAATTATTTAAAAGCTTAATTTCAGCGACTGCAAAATAATCCTGTCATATAGATGTACCATAATTAGTCATTTCCTGCTTGGTATTTTTGACTCTCTTTACTCACCATAAAGCTCACCTCCTTCCACATTTCTGTCGTTTCTTCCGTTAGCCCTAACGTCTCACACGTGGTACAGTAGCCATCAGAGCCTCTTCGCTCCCCTGGGAGACTTAACCGCTCTCCTCTCCGGGTTCCTTCTCTCCTGCCTTCCGTCCCAGCGCCGAGTCCCAGAGCAGCCAAGGCTTCCGGAGAGGGAGTGGAGGCAGAGCAGAAGGGAGCAGGAGACACCGTAGTGGAATAAAGTCAGGAGAAAACCTTGGTGGCAGACAGTGAGGATCGCTGGAGCTCAGAGTTACAGAAGGAAAGTGCGTGTCGCTGCTTCATAATAAAATCCACCCGTTCATTCCAGGATGTTCACTGAGAACAGTGGTCAAGACAGAAACAGGATCTGCCCCGAAAGGAGACTTTACAAATAGTGTATTGATTACGACTATACTCGGTGAAGTAAAAGTACCAGGAGACTTAGCCTAGACTGGGAGATCAGGGAGGACCCGCGAAGAGGTGGTGTCTAAGCTGAGACGTGGATGCTGAGTAGAAGTTAGCCAGTGGCCGGGGAGGTGGGGTGGGGGGGTGAGGGCTGGCGCAGGAGGTGGGTGATACAGGCGCTGAGGAAAGAGCTGGGAAATAGCGGTTTGGAGAGAAAACCCAGAGAAGATGGTGAAAGGGGAGAGGGGACGGGGTAAAACCTGTGTTTCAGCTTTTCCAAGGTCATAGAGACTCTACCTTGTTGTGTCCATTAACCTCTTTTTCCATCCCGTTCTTAGTTCTCTCCAGGGTGTTTTCATGCAATTGGAAAATTATTTGGCCTCTCTCTGAACAATGCCCAGCTGGGCCCCAGTCTCACAGAGAAGCTTTGCTTGGAATTATCAAACACAAGCATTCAGAATCTCTCCCTGAGCAATGTCCAGCTGTACAGAGCCAGCAACACGACTTTCATTGGACTAAAGCAGACAAATCTCACCATGCTTGATCTTTCCCGGAACAGCTTAAGTGTGATCGGTAATGATTCCTTTGCTTGGCTTCCACATCTGGAATATCTCTTTCTGGAATATAACAACATACAGCATTTGTCTTCTCGCTCTTTTTACGGGCTTGCCAATGTGAGATACCTGAATTTGAGACGATCTTTTGCTAAACAAAGCACTTCCCTGCCTACGCTTTCCAAGATGGATGATTTTTCCTTTCAGTGGCTAAACTGTTTGGAGTATCTCAACATGGAAGATAACAACTTTGCAGGCATAAAAAGCAATATGTTCACAGGACTGAAAAAGCTAAAATACTTAAGTCTAGCCGACGCCTTCTCAAGTTTGCGAACTTTAACAAATGAAACATTTGTATCGCTTGCTGGTTCTCCTCTACTCATACTCAACCTCACCAAAAATAAAATCTCAAAAATAGAGGGTGGTGCCTTTTCTTGGTTGGGCCACCTGAGGGTGCTTGACCTTGGCCTTAATGAAATTGGGCAAGAACTCACGGGCCAGGAATGGAGAGGTCTGGAAAATATTGTTGAAATCTATCTTTCCTACAACAAATACCTAGAGCTGACTAGCAACTCTTTTGCCTTGGTTCCCAGCCTTCAACGACTGATGCTCCGGAGGGTGGCCCTTAAAAATGTGGCTAGCTCCCCTTCACCTTTTCTCCCTCTTCTTAACTTGACCATCCTGGATCTAAGCAACAACAACATAGCCAACATAAACGATGACCTGTTGAAAGGACTTGAGAAACTAGAAATTCTGGATTTGCAGCATAACAACTTAGCACGGCTCTGGAAACATGCAAACCCTGGTGGTCCTGTTCAGTTTCTGAAAGGTCTTTCTCACCTCCACATCCTTAACTTAGAGTCTAATGGCTTTGATGAGATTCCAGCAGAAGTCTTCAAGGACTTATTTGAATTGAAGAGCATCAGTTTAGGATTGAATAATTTAAACATCCTTCCACCATCTGTCTTTGATAATCAAGTGTCTCTGAAGTCATTAAATCTTCAGAAGAATCTCATAACATCCGTTGAGAAAAATGTTTTTGGGCCAGCGTTCAAGAACCTGAGCAATTTAGATATGCGCTTTAATCCATTTGATTGTACATGTGAAAGCATTGCCTGGTTTGTTAATTGGATTAATGGTACCCACACCAACATCTCTGAACTGTCAAGCCACTACCTCTGCAATACTCCACCTCAATACCATGGCTTCCCAGTGATGCTTTTTGATTTATCACCCTGCAAAGACAGTGCCCCGTTTGAACTCCTTTTCATGATAAATACCAGTATCCTCTTGATTTTCATCTTTATTGTCCTGCTCATCCATTTTGAAGGCTGGAGGATTTCTTTTTATTGGAATGTTTCAGTGCATCGAGTTCTTGGTTACAAAGAAATAGACAGACAGCCAGAGCAATTTGAATATGCAGCATATATAATTCATGCCTATAAAGATAGGGATTGGGTCTGGGAACACTTCTCCCCAATGGAGGAAAATGATCAAACTCTCAAATTTTGTCTGGAAGAAAGGGACTTTGAGGCAGGTGCCCTTGAACTAGAGGCAATCGTTAATAGCATCAAAAGGAGCAGAAAAATTATTTTTGTTATCACACAGCATCTCTTGAAAGATCCATTATGCAAAAGGTAGGTGAACACTGTGAAATTTGAAGTGTCTACTTGTTTTTAAATTGAGCTTTTAAATATTACTATTGTTATTACTCACAACTCAAAGAATTTTTAAAATTAAGTTAAGAAAAAAATAACCTGATTTTTAGTGACAGATTAAAGTTAATTGGAAGGGGAATTTTAGATTTTAGAGCTTTGGGCTGTTAAAGACTGTATACTGATATATAACTGAATTCAGTCTTTTTTTAAACTTAGATTCAAGGTGCACCATGCAGTTCAGCAAGCTATTGAACAAAATCTGGATTCCATTATATTGATCTTTCTCGAGGAGATTCCAGATTATAAACTGAACCATGCGCTCTGTTTGCGAAGAGGAATGTTTAAATCTCACTGCATCTTGAACTGGCCGGTTCAGAAAGAACGGATAGATGCCTTCCATCACAAACTGCAAGTAGCACTTGGATCCAGAAATTCAGCACATTAAATGTATTTAAAGACTAAATTAAAGGAGTAACTTTCCTAATTTAAAAAGCTCCTTGGTAAATTTATGTTTTACTTGGAAGTAACGTAAATCTGTTTCTTTGCATTTATAGGTGGGAGTATTGTCTCACAATTATCTCTCTTCTGTAGATATTTCAGGCTTTTTATTACCAATTGAGTTAATTCAACCCCAAAGAAACATATAAGAATATCTTTTACTGATGAGTACACAGTTAGTTACTGAGGCCTATGCAAACTTGGAGTTTCAAAATATTCCCCATATAAAGAAAAATTAGAGTTATATAAGAGTTTGTGATAATTATGTTCGAGTTTTTCCTGGATGCACTCAGAACAAAATACAACTGTTTTAATGTGTACAATGCTATTTCAGTTGTGACAGAAGAATATATACACCCATATTTTTGAAAGTTTCATTAGCAGTAGTTTTTCGATTGAAAATCTTTCTATCTTAGTGGTACCTGTCTCAGTGTTGATTTTATTAAATGTCATATTTTAATAAATATACTCAAGGGCAGAAAACATTTGCAATTCATTTTGATTACTTAATAAAAAATATTTTAATAAATACCTTTATTTTCCTGCTATTTAGATTTTGGCTATAGAAGGCATTAGGAGAAACAATTCTTTTACTTAAATGTATTGCAGAAAGGCTTGCTTCCTGAAGGTTAATTAGTAGATTAGCTTTGTGTAGACAAAATATTGCTTTCCCCTGGTCAGAGACTCAGGAGATGACCCTGGCCAAATCACTTGGTTTCACTGGGACTTTTTTGACTGCTGATCTCAAAAATTATGGTGACAAACAAAATCGTAACTATTCCCATGATTCTTAGTGATAATGACCCTGGTGTAGTACATTCACATAGACTAGATGATTGTACCATAAAAAGGATGCTTTGTGTACATTAGTCCTTACGATTATTTTAAGTTTTATTTTTGTTTTAAAATAAAATGAGTAGTTATTGGAAACAGATGTGAATAACTTTTTAAAAACTTTATAGTTCTGGCATTCAAGTATATGGGAGAATTGCAATTGTAATAATGTTGAGATAATTTCTATACTTGAGGCACTCATTTGTCTGCTGAATTTAGAGAGCATTTGAGATGTGACATTTTGGAACTTTAAACAGTTCAGTATGCTCAGAACTAAGCTCATATAATCCTTTAAAAAAGTCATATCTGCAGTACTGCTGGTTCTGAAAGACTCTATCGTCTCCCAATAATGTGAGTATTTGGAGAATTTTTACTCTCACATTATAAGCCACCCTCACACATGAGACATTTGTTTTATAGCTTTTTTTGTTCAGATTTGTTTTCTAGCTGTAAATAATCCTGTTTTATTTTAGCATCATAGAAAAAAATCACAACTACTTTTTTCTTGATGCACTTTGTTATCTATCGATACTCTCAACATCATTGAAATATTTCTAAATCAATTATTATGAATTTATCAATATATTATCCACTTGTGAAAAGCAGAGCAGGAAGTAATTTTGCCTTCTTTCTCTTATTTGTTTGTTTAATAAGATAATTGATCAAATGGGCACAATTTAAATTGAGTTCAAATGTCATTTTTTTTAAAGTTGCTTAATATTCAAGAAGTTAGGATGCACAAGGGATGGCCCGTTTAACTGAATGTAGGTAAGACCAGTAAAAGGTCTAAACCTTGACTCGTGTTTGACCTACACAGGAGGCAGCATCCTGACCTTCTGCAGGCTTTCTAATTGTTCTCAGGAGTCGTCCAGATCCCTTGGGCTCAAGACAAAGGGAGTGCAGGAAAGGATGTTTGTCTGACCTATTTAATTTCCACATGTGAACTGACTTGTTTGAACGCTCTCTGGATGTCATCATGTAATCTGTTCACCCCAACTCCGTTCTGTTTTCACTTTCAAAACAAAATCCAGCTGAATCAACAACATGGAGATTAAAATAAATCTAGGTATTTAGATTTTACCTAAAAATGGCACCTTTTAGGCTATAATCAGAAGTAGTGCAGTCAATTTGTTAATGAGGAAGGGGGTTTTCAGTGCCATTTATTTAACAATGTTTACTTATTCAAATGTCTGCTTTAGATTATTTGTAATGGTCTCAATCATAAGAGATGGTGATCATTAGAAAATGTAAAGATGTTCCAAATCTAGAGCTCAAAATAAGTTTCTTGCAATCAATAGAGACCATGGGCATCAGAGATCTTTTTGGAGTGATGAAAATGTTCTAAAAGTAGACTGTGGTAATGATTTCAGAACTATGTAAATTTACTAAAAATCATTGAATCATACACCTAAAATGGGTAAAACATTTGGTACATAAATTATATATTAATAAATCTGTTAAAAAAAATAGGATTCTTTGAGGAGCTAGCTACATGTGCCTGGCCCTGTGCTAAACACTAAAAGGTACAATTGGATATGAGATGCATTGTAGGAAATTGGCAAGAGGCGTTAGAGTAGGAAGGGGTTATCAAAGATGGGCCTGGACAAGGAGGCCTTCTTGGAAGAGGATCAGATCTTTCAAAGGCAGGGAAGATTTTGGTGAGTGAGGAGGAAGATGGCAGAATGAATTGCAAGGTGGAAGGCAGGGAGGGAGACATGAACTCGGCGTTGGGAGATAGCAGGGATACTGCAGAGGATGGAACCGTGTTGCAGACAGCGTGGCAAAGGAGTTTGGATTTAAAGAGTTAGGTATTCTGAAATTGTAACTTTATGGGTTTCCATCAGCAAAATCAGAAATTATAATGAAATTCCCTCTTGGGTTTGTGACTTAGATTAATGTGACACCTAGCTGAACAGAAGGAGCATGACTTACAACTTCACGGTCCAAACAGCCAGGCTTATTCTCAGAAAACAGAAGGGGACTTGAAGCATTTCTTTTTCCTATAAATATATAAATCTGTATTAAAATACAAAGCATGACAATCGATTATCAGTCACTAATTATACCAGGGGATATGTTACCACGGGGAGCTCCAGAGCCCCCTACAGGGTCAACACAGAACTACACAAAGGGGCTGGACTGCTGTGCCCTCCATCAGCCAGTCTCCGGATGTGGGCAGTCCCAGGAAGGAAGTGCGACTTTAAGCGATAAGCTTTGCCACAAAGCAATTCCAAAGAAGGGGCTCAGTTGTGAAACGGCAGGAACTAACACTCGGGGACGACTGGAAGAGGAGCTGCCTGGGCCCTTGGAGAGGAGATCTTGGTGGTTCCCCACAGCATCTACTACGCCTCCGAAGGTATTGACAGTTCGGTTGGTTTCTGCAAGCACTTCTGCAAGCTTGCAGCCATTTTAGTTTTAAAAATAAAGTCTCTTCCAGAAATTATCAATTTGCCCTGACACGTGGATTTCGAAGAGGCAGAAAGACGTGAACCAACTCACGCTCTAGAGTCACAGAGGGTGATGTTAAAGAAGATGGCATGGTCCCTCCGCGTTATGTTACGTTTCAGAATGCTAACAGCATAACGATATTTGTTCCTTCCAATCAAGGTGGAAAAGAAACAAAAAGAGTTTCCTATTTTACTTTTATATTGGTACTCCCGTCCAGGCAACTCCTGTGGGAATCCTTCTTTGCTATGCCACCTCCGCCCCACACACCATGCAGAGTGTCAATCATTTCATTCCTTCCGCATCCACAGCACTTTATTCACAACCTTAGTCCAACTGCACATTGGGTTTTGGACACTGTTTATATCTGACTCCTCCCTGCGCCCCTAGAATATGAGCACCTGGAATACATAGAGCTCCATCTTATCCATCTTGGTGTCTTTGATATCTAGAGGAATGACTGGAACATAGTAATTTTGCAAACAAGAGGCTATTGAAAATAAAATGTTAGATTGGCACCGTGGCAGTGGACAGAAGGAGGAAATAGACACATTAGATGTTTTTTAAATCTATTTTTAACGCCAGGAAATTTCATATTTATTACTTCTACTTCTGGGAGAGAAAACAAACAAGAGAGAATCAGGATGCTTCAAAATGCCCTCTAGCCTCCTCTAATTCTGCAATACCTACACCCAAAAAGGCCAGTACCCTGTGCAGGAATGGTCCAAGGCGTGCTAGGTCTGCACTTAAATAAAACCTTAGTCTACATTCTAAGTTTTCTTGTGGTCTTGTTCTCTTTCTTTTCATGCTTCATCTCCAATCATTTCCTAATATTTATGCAGTGCCTGACACACAGTAGGCAGTCACAAAATGTTTGTTGATTGAAGGATTCAGTGAATGAATAGATCATGAACTTCAGTCACCCAGAGCTACCTGCAGGCTCCCAAGCATGCCTGGCCCTTTCCAGTTTCCAACCTTATGTCAATGCGATTCTGCTTTCACCGCTGTCCTAGCTCCTTCTTTTCTTGGCTACTTTTGGCAACTTCAAGTGTTAGGTCAGGTGTCGGCTTCTATAAGGAGACCTAACCCTTGACTCAACCTGATCCAACCCTGGAAACTTACAGCCTTCCTAAACACACCTCCTCTGTAGGACGAGTTAGTAGGACTTGACCCTGTGCCGAGCACTCCTGGTTAGGAAGGGTCAGTCTCTTGAACAGTAGGAGTGCCTAGTAAGAGTCTAAAGAAGGTGTAACCTCAAGGCCCACTGTTGCCAATGCAAGAATGTGTACAAACCCCGTTAGGAGAAAGGGCTTTGCCTCGGCTGTGCCTTAGAGGGGCGCTCAGGTGGGAGACTTTTCTACATTCGATTTGTTTGCTGAAGATAACCCTTCAGTGCAAGAGGATTTAAAGAGCTATTCTTCTGCTGGAGTTGTTTTGGTATAAAGCAAATTTGGGATAAACACTGGGTCAGATGAGTTCTTCCTTCTTCAGAGAAACCTGGTTACCTACGCAGTGTTAAGAAACAGAGGTTCCCTCTGGACTTCCCTGATAATGGTTCCAACTTCCCGGCCCAGCAGCTCAGTGATCCTGCAGCCGCTTCTGATGTAACTTATCTAATCATCAGGGAAATGCAAGTCAAAACCGCAGTGAGGTATCACCTCACACCTGTTGCGATGGGTATTCTCACAAAGCCAAAAGACAACAAGTGAGTTTGTGGAGCAGCTGGAAACCTTGCACAGCGTTGGTGGAAATGCAAAATGGTGCAGTTGCTACACAAAGTAATATGGAGGTGCCTCCAAAAAATTACAAATAGAAAGACTATATCATCCAGCAATCCCACTTCAGAGTATTTATTCTGTAAAAAAGTGATAAACAGAGACCAGAAGGGGGAGCTCTCATGCCCTGTGATGATCGCAGAGCCAAGCAGGGAGAAGAAAGACTCCAATTCTTTCCTGGCAAGGACTCAGCCAGCGAAAAGCCATGCACTCTGTTTACCATAGCTCCCCCCTACCCCTCCTCCTTTAACTTCCCTGTAAAGGCACACTCCTTCCCTTGCCACAGGGGGACCTACATGTGGCTCACCATGGTTACAGACCCCAATTGCCATTCTATTCTGATCCCAAGTAAGCCCATCTTTGCTGGAGAAATACCTGGCTGTCTATTTCTTTCAGATCAACCATCCAAAAGAGTTAAAATCAGGATCTCAAAGAGATATTAGCACTCCCAGATTCATTGCCGCTACTGTTCACAATAGCCAAAATGTAGAAACAATATAATTATATATTATGTATTATGATAATCTAATATATATAATTATTTTTTATTTATGAGCCTCTTAAAGGCAAATTTAGTTACATGTACCCTGGGCAGTCATTAACTGAAATTTCAACCATATTGTATACGAAATTATTTTAAATAACTTATTTTAACTTATATTTGACCATAATTACCAGTCTTATGAAAGACCAATAAATTGAAACCTGAAAAAGTTCACACTCTGTCTATGGAGTGTGTCTCTCTCTCTAAATAAGCTTGCTTTCACTTTACTGTGGCTCACTCTTGAATTCTTTTCTGCACAAAGCCAAGGACCCTCACTTGACAGGGCGCGTCCCAGGGACTCACCCAAAACCCAGGACATGACCATCCTCTCATGCCCCATTTTCTTGCAACACTTGTCGTGAAAACGAACTTACCCTGCTCAAGGCTCTGTGCCAGCTTCCATGCATGTATCGATGAGTGTAACTCTCACGAAGTCCCGTCACTTGAGGTAGGAACTGTTATCATTCCTGGATTACAGTTGAGGAAACTAAGGAACAGAGAGGGTGTTGGTTGGTGGCAGAGACAATATGGAGGTAGGAGGTCCAGCTCCAGAGTCTACCATACTGTACTGTCTCCATCAAGGTTCTTAGTAAGTATTTGTTGACTCAACAAATGCCTTCCCTTGTTCAGAAGTTTACTGTTTCTATAGTCAAATTTGACAGTATTTTCCTCTATAGAACCTTGGCCTTAGTGTCATGCTAAGTGACACAATTTAAATCCCTAAACAGATTAATTCCTCAGGCTATTTGTTTTAAGTTTCAGGTTTCCAAAATGTAACATTCCTTCACAGCATCGTGGTCATAACTTCCTAATATTTTCTCAGTGATGTAGCCCAGCGTGATTATACACATCAGAAAAACAATTCATCAAATTGGTAATTAAGCAAGATAAGCAGAAGCATTTCATCACATAAAACACGGCTTTGACATTTCTAATAAAACCTATCTAAAATCAACACGGTCACAGTTAGAAGCAAAGACTACTGCATTTACTTTCATTTCATTACTCTGGGCCAGACTATTGTGGTACGTCACCTGGGCTCATGTTATGAGAATGGCGCACTGGTGGTAATTAACAGAAAAGCCTGGTTGCATCTAACATCTGTCTGAAAGACTGTTGACAGATGAACAGTGGGTATAAAAGACCAAGCAACTTGCGAGGAATTGTTTATCACGTTTGCAATTAATAGATCGTTTTCAAAGGCCTTTCAGACAAAAGGATCAGTCACTCATTCATTGCGCCGCCTTCAGGAAGCTGGCCGGCCAGATTTTACATCACTGTTTAACCAGCGATGATATTTCGTCCCCCATCCTTTTTATGTTTTCCTCCGTGTAGGTTTTTTAGACAATCTGTAGCCAGCTTTTTAGAGCACATACGCCCAATGAAGACTTTCAGGGAGGTACCAGAAAGATTCTATGATCATGCTGCACCCCAGTAATTAATTACTACCCCAATAGTGCATTCATTTCCCAGAGCTCCCATAACAAACCGTCACGAACCAGGTGGCTTCAGACAACAGAAATGCTTTGTCATAGTTCTGGAAACTAGAAGTCTTATGTTAGATGCCAGCAGGGCCATGCTCCTTCTGGAATCTGTAAGGAAGACTCTCCCTTGCCTCTTCCTAGCTTCCATGTGGTGGTCTTCAATCGCTGATGTCCCTTGGCTCGCAGGTGCATCACTCCAGTCTCTGCCTCTGTCATCACATGATGCTCTTTCTGTGTGTTTGTGTTCAAATTTCTCTTTTCTTAAGAAGATTGGATCAGAGCCATGCTGATGACCTTGTCTTGTGTTGATTTTGTCTGTTAGACCCTATTTCCAAATAAGGTTACATTCACACAAATTGGGAATTAGGACGTCATTGTAGTTTTATGGGGAAGACAATTCAACCCATACGTAACAGATGGGATGCACACAGACACACCTGAGAAACAGACTGCGTTCAAGGCGGGATTTGGAAGAGTATGAGCTTTTCCGTAGCCTTATTAACTGTATCTACATACTTAAAGGAAAGTGTGTGCCTAGAAGGGAAGTGGTTGGTAATGAAAGCACAGAAATAGCTCAAGTTAGAGAGCTGAAGACAGGTGGGTGAGTGCCCACTGTTCAAGTAGGGTTTCTCTTCCAAGATGGAGGGGGGTGATTTACTTCTAGGGTTACTGCCCTCTGTATGTGAATATGTGTCGTATATTGCTTTGATTCTGTGCTCACCTAACAATCTTCCAACTTCATTTGATCTCAACAGGAATTCCTCTCGGAGAGAAAGAGCAGAGGCCAACACGGCAGTTGTGTGGTTATGAGTTAACACACTTGAGCTGGGGCTTGTGCATCAGTATTTTATAAGTCAAGTGAGTGGGGCACCACCCTGAGAGGCTGGTCAGCTATGAAGATTATGGGTCTGTAAAATCCAGAACCCTGAGATGTGGCAGCAGACAAGAGCTGTTCCCAAGGAGCTGGGTGAGTTGAATCAGGCTTCGCTCGGCAGTGACCCTTTTTTGCTGCCTGTCCCTTTGAGTTATATTATATTTGTTCAATCAGGTGACTAGCAGCTTAAACGCTGAAAGCACATACTCCAGAAGTGATCTCTACTTGCACTGAGGATTGAATTGTCTTATGAATCAGAATCAAGATCCTTATGAAAAAGACAAACAAAAAATCTTTAGGCAACATCTTTGCAGTCCTGCCAGAGTGCTGTATGAAACGGCCCAGTGTTCTGATGGAGCTCACAGACCTCTAAGCCTACAGGATGGGTTACTATGAACAGGGGACGATGAGAATATAAGAAATGGTAATGGTTCGACACCAGCCTGCTTCTGGTGCCCCCGCAGACAATGGACTTGGTACAGCTTCCCTGACTTGACCCTGAGACCCCTGCCTCTAGTTTCCATAGTTGCTCCCGGATGAGTATTACTTAATCCTCCCTTCCCTCATTTTGGTTCTTCCTTGTTCGCAGGTGCTTTACATGCTGACAATGGCATGCTCTCCATCTCCCAACATCGAAGGACCTTTACAGTCTGACCCTGCCTGGCTTGTTTCTTACTTCTCTTAAGCACACACACAGTCTTCCTTCCTCAAGCTACTGCTGACTTCGATGGCTGCCGCCAGCTGTGCTTGTTCTCTGGGGGCCCTCACGGACACTAAGCCTGGGAGATGAAGCTGGTCATTCCATGCCATGGCAAGAAAACACCTTTTTTGCATCTCAGTACTTCACCCAATTTTGAAGTAGAAAAATAGAAAATCCCAGCATATGTCTGTTCCTGGTAGTTGGATGCAGAAAAGAGATCAGGACAGGATGTGGTATCGTAGATAGAAGATTAGTTAGTTGTCTGCAATGCAGAGTTTGTCACTACCATAGAAATGTACTGTGGCTCAGAATCCAGTCCAGTAACTTGCAAAAGACTAATGTATATAATCACGAATGCCAGTTAATTTATTCACTGCCAGACTATTCATCTCCTTTCTCTGCCCAATCAGAAAACGTATTTTCTGAGATCAAAACAGAAACTCTCCACTGAACATTAACGGATAAATACATTGTATGTGGATTTTACCAGTTTATCTCTCAGAACTCAATCTTATTTCCAAGTTCTTGGATTAGGGGCCACCCTGTTGTTCCCCTCTGTCATCTTAATGACACACGTTGAACTTGGCCATGAGGTGGGAGGAAGGGCACTGCTGATTCAAGTCTACTCACCTGAATGCATGTTTTGACTAACCTTCCCTCGTATCAGAAAGCTGGCCATGGCTCGTTCGATCTTGATAAGGTCCAGATTTTTTGGAATCAGCGTTACCATTCCCAGGTTTCTGTTCAAACTCCTCACCCTCAGCCCAGAGTTCTGCGAATCTGGGGAAGCTCTAAGGGTGATGGAGAAATTGGAGAGTGTTTCTTTAAGGCAGGGATCAAGGAGGGGAGCCAGGGTATCTATTGTAGACGCAGCTCCAGGCTACAGTCTGGGGCCCAATTAGCAGTGAGCTAAGCAGGGTTTTTGTTTGGCTTAGCAACCGCCTGCGCGGTCCCGGGGGCCCGTCGGGGTATCTGCGGCTGCCGGAGGCCCCAGTCTCCACCCTTAGCCCGCGGTGGCGCTGGCAGCCGCAGCAGTCGCCTCCGTGGGCTCCCGGACCCCTGGCCCTCGGGGTCTCGCACGCAGCACTAGGGTACGGAAGGGACTGCTCCCTGCAGACGGTGGCCGACCGGGCGTCAGGGAGGGTCTAGCCAAATTGTCGCGGGGCCCAGAGCCCAGAAGCGTTGCACCGCGTAGAGAGAGCACCAGAGGCCCCTGGGGTGCGCGGTGTGCGGGGACCCCACGACCCCCGCCGCCGCCCAGGGTCGCCTTGTCCAGATCCCTGAAGGCGGCGGTGGATGGAGCCCCGCAGCCCGGTTCCCCTTGGGCTTGAGGTTCGGGCAGCAGCCAGGACAGCACTTGGAAGGCCAGGACATGAAGGTCGCTGTGCTGGACCTTGGGTCTCTCTTTGCCAAAATTTTCAAGTCCTCGACGGCGCCCCCGACGGTTCCCTCGCCGGTCGCCTCCCCCAGCCACTCGCGAGGCGCTGCCACCGCAGGGCCGGCGGGTTCCAGCGCAGACACCTCGCTGCGCACGGCCCCGACCTTGACCGTCTTCCCGGCCCTGGCGCCCGACTCGCCCTCCGCCTCACCGGGGGCGCCGCTCCAGCCTCTGCTCACCGCCTCCTGCCCCCGGCTCTCG